TTCCCCCCCCCCCCCCCCCCCCAACCGATCTCCCTTTTTCCTGCCTGACGGCCGAACATTCGCTCTCTGCGGCGCCCGGTGCACACAAAAAAACGCCCCAACCAAACAACGGCGGCACCCCCCAACAAAAGCTGGCGATGGACCGATGGGACGCCGGCCAGGTGAGAAGGATGGAGCTCGGCGGCAACGGTCAGCTTCAAGCCTGGTTCACCAAGTGTCAGACGGAGAACAGCGCCTTGGAGATGAAGTACAGGACCAAGGCGGCCACGCTGTACAGGGAGAACTTGCGTGTGGCGGCGGATGAAGATCTGGCTTCGGGGGGGGGGCAGGCGGCTGGAGAGCTACAGGGGGCACCTGGTTCCCGTAAGGGGCGCATCTTCGCTGCGGCAGAGAGGGCGGCGGCGAGTAGCCTAGCCCAAGAGGTGTGTGTCGTGTTTCTCCGGTAGTAGTAGTAGTAGTAGCAGTAGCAGCAGCAGCAGCAATGATGTAGCAGTAGAAATAGTAATAGTAGCAGTAGTAGTAGAGATGGTAGTACTAGTAGTCGTAGTACTGAGGTGTTGCAGCGCTAGGGATCAAGAGGAGATGGAACCGCTTTGCCCCATGTAGGCCATGAGATAATTAGAAGCTTTATTACGTTGGAGGCCCTGCTTCGGGAGGGTTGATGTAGTAGACCGGTGGCGGTGGTGTTTTGGGTCGGCTTGGAAGCATATACGTGCACAACAATCGGACAGCATTGTGTGATAAATTTAGTCCTTCTTGTTCGAGCTTTCCGCGTGATGTGATGTGCCTTCAATACCAGAGAAATGGCGTGTTTTCTTATTCGCTCATTGGGCTTCGCGGTGACTGGTGCCCCCCCCCCACCCCCCCCTTCCCGTATCTCCACCAAACTCCATGGTAACGCCTCCACAACCGATGAAAGGAGGCCGAGGCCGAAGCCGCCGCTAAGAAGCTGCGAAAGCGCGGTAAGGGGAGTCGCGTTAGGCGGCGCGAAGCCGAGCGTGCCGGCGCGCTAAGCTCGGCGGCACAGGTGCCCGTAGCAGCTCGTCACGATCCCCCTTCAGCGCACGCAGGGGCTGGAGCGGCGCCGGGCGGTGCGACGGCGGCGGCGACGGTTGGGTCGGGCATGGAGGAGTACGCGAGGAGATGCGGGAGGGAGGAGGAGTACGAGGTGAGCTTACGGCCCGTGTACAAGTATGCTGCGGCTTTCTGTTGTTCTTGTGCAGGTGTCATGTATGGGAAATCAGTGTATCCTGGGCACTGTATGGTGGTTTGCTGTGCGATATGTGACGTATGTAGGTACGTAGCGCGGGAGAGCTTTTGACCACCGCCGCGGTTGGAGAGGCAGTGTTGCTGTTGCTGTGGAGAAAGAGTTTGCGTCGAAGACTGCTGTGCTCGCATACTCCCGCAGTTCGTTTCCAGAGCGCTCTCTCCTAGAACAGGCAGACCTGCCTCTACTGCTGCTGCTGGTGGTGCTGCTACTGCTGCCGCTGTTGCTGCCCCCACTGCCTGCACTCCCAATCCACGTTCGGCGACTCAGCTCGTTATTGAATCGCGGCCCCCATTTTTCACCCTTCCGTTGGCGCGATATGTTTTCTCTTGTTTTTTGTTCTCCATACCTTGTGCTGAGAAGGTCGTGTTCGGTCCCGGAGGCATGGGGTTCACTCTGATGAAGGATGCCGTTAGCCGGGCGCTCGTCACCCGCCTGGCACCCGGGGGCATGGCGTTTCGGCTCGGGGTCCGCACAGGTGAGGTGCTGCCGGCGCTCCTTGCGCCACCCCGCCGCCTACCATTTATGGTTGCGGTTGCGGTTCGTTGGGCCGGCTGGCGTAGTTGAAACTTTTCACACCCTGTACAACTACTTTAGTTGGTAGTTGTTCGCCAAACAACTACTCTTCCAGGAGCGTGCGCACCTAGTTGCCTGTAGACAACTACTATTCCAGGAGCGTGCGCAACTAGGTGTGTACGAGCAACTAGCCGGTAGTTGCCTGGAAAACAACTAACTAGTTAGTTATAGGTAAAGTTGTACAGGGTGTGAAACTTTTGACTGCTGATGGCGTTCGGGCTATGCGTAGTGCTCAAGGGCGCCTCCGAGATTCAGCAAGAGAAGACTGGAGTTCTCCCCCCCCCACACTCCCCCCCCTTCAGCCTTGTTTGCCATCGGGGTTTGGGTTTTCGTCGCTTGGCAACGACGTTGTAGAACAAGCCGCCCCCCCCGGTGTTTGCCATCGGGGTTGGGTTTTCGTCGCTTGGCAACGACGTTGTAAAACAAGCCCCCCCCTCGGTGTTTGCCATCGGGATTGGGTTTTCGTCGCTTGGCACCGACGTTGTAAAACAAGCCAATTCACTTCGTGAACTCGGCAACCAGGTTACCGTCTTTTTTTTTTACCTCGTTTTTTTTTTTGCCGGTAACCATAATGGTGGTCGAGTAGATCATGTTGTGCGGGGTCGAGAACCTTCACTCCGCGCAAGGGGGATGATCGCACCACGTTGTTTTAAATGGTCAAGCATCCTCGAGGCAGTTACACAGTGCTTACAACTGTCTCTGGAAGTGAAAGCACCAGAAAATAAATTAAGTCATACGTAGCTGTCATCCGTACGCAAGGAAGTAAGCACAAGATGCCGAACACCCTTAGCAGGATGCAGCTCACCCTTCATGCGACTCGCCAAATACCTCACGGCGCTTCGCGCTTGGCGATGTGAGAGCCTGGTCCGGTGAGAACCCGGCGTGCTCCGTCCCGGCTTTGTAGGGATGCGAGGTCAATAGTCTAACGACTACGGCATGCACGACTATGAGTACACACACACACACACACACACGCACAGAAACGGCATACATACCGCCAACGCTCACTCCAGAGGCAAAAAATCGACCCCCCCCCCCCCCCCAGCCGAAGGGCGGGGCCCAGGCGGCGAGCGGCGGGGCGCAGCCAAG